GACAGTTTGAAAGATGAGTGACTTGATATATAGGGACTGCCTGTTCAGGGAAAAGCTGTGAAAAAAAATTTTGCTCGACTATTTGTCGTTTATTACGAAATGATAAGGTAGACTACTTCTATTTGGCTTGGGAAAAGTCTTATATATCGGGCGATTTAAACTTAAGAAAGGCAGGCAAAAGAGTTTCATGTGAAAGAATAATGCTGCCTACTGATGAGAAACGGCATTCTGAAACAAGTAATACCTATCAAATAGGACAAAAACTATTATACTATTTATATTATTAGTTTTATTGTTTATTATTATTACTAATATCTTTTTCATTGGTTGTTTAACTATATATTATTAGAGCTATTGTTTTTTAATGACGTGTTCACATTATTTTGCAATGTGACATATACGAAAAAAATCGAAAACCTGTATTTTGGGGGTGTGATTTTTGAGTTCAAAATTAGGGGAATTGTACTACCTGTGACGCTAAAAAAGTTGAAATAAATGGATTATTCGTGTACCGATATAATCAAATTAAAAAAATTAACAAATTAACTATAACTAATTGGATATGATCAATCATCGAAACTATTGTAATGAGAAAATGCCTTTTTGGGAATCAATGTATGTTTATTATAAATAAAATGAAAGTTATTTATATAATATGCAGATTTTCCCGTTAATTTATATAAAAAGTATTAAATATATTTAATAATATCAACCTGCTGCCAAAACAATTTTTTGGTAACAGCTGATTGAGAAGAAAAAAGCCTCTATAACCCGAAAAATAGGAATAGGCTGGCTGTCCAAAAATCTTCATCATCGACAGGAAGAGGTGATGAATCTTTTTTTTTTTCACAATAAGACTAAATAAATGGGATATTTTTGTTATATTATTTATGTAACTATTTAAATAATTAGAATAGATAATCAAAATATTCCCGAATTTTTACATACAGTCTCTTAGTTTTAAGTATATATTAAATAATAAAAATTAAATTATACATAACATACTATTATTTTTATAACAAATAATAATATGATGATAATAAAACGCATTATAATACAATTTTATTTGAATTATTTATAATTAAACCATTTTTATTTTTATTTACTTTACAATTAATTATTAAAAATTAGTATTAAATATAATTCATTTTTATTTAATTTAAAAAAACCATTGATTAATAAAAATAAACAATACTAAAATAATTAAACTATTCATTAACCCTCATTAACAAAACTATAGTACAATCTAATACAGTATTATACTGTTATATTTTTTTACAACTTTTTATCTCTTTGTTTCTCATATCTTTTCATACAAAAATAACTAATTCAAATATTAGTTGCACAATGATATCCACTTTTTTTTATAATTCCCATCAATAATAATTATATTATAGATAATACTACCAACAAAAAACAGAAAAGAACATAAAAAGATAAACAACTCTAAGTGATGGCTCAGAGGGTTATTGAAATCATCAGCTCACGTCCTCAAATGATGTACGGTCCTGTCGTTTCATATGTAAAAGACTACAACACTTTATCAACAAACATTCACTACACTTCCTGCCTCTTTAATTCCGATAACGTGTATTTGGACAACAAACGGAGGGTTGTATGTAATGGTCAAAAAATGACGGTAGGTCTTCCAATGACATTATATGATGGGAGAAAAACTCGATCTCTACCCATCGCGGTGTCTTCGTATAATACACGACTTATCGTCACCCTCGAAAGTGGTCATCGAATTTTAATGCGTAAAGTGAACGACGAACTAGTCATAGATATGACTCTTCCTCCCCTTTTCGACGGTAAAGCGCGTATCTCGTCACAAATAGGTGATGTCTGTGTTCAAGTGTATACAACACCAAATAATACTGACCGCGTGTTTGTAGGACTTTTGGAGTCTCAAAAGTCCCAATTTGTTGAAGCTGTAGAGGAAATCACACAACACTTCACAGAGACCATTTTTGACATCTGGAACGACGACAATGACATTCATCTCTGCACACAACTCCACGCTATAACACTACGGGTGGCTAATTCATATCAACGGTTTAGTATGAATTTGAAGCGCTCTGAACTTGGAATGCAATTTCGCACAGTAGTCGACGAGACAGTTGACGTGTATGGCGACTTGGCAATCACTTGGTGTTTCCAAGTGATTGCTTTCAAAGAAATCGATGACGACCGAAGTGCGTTTCTCTCCAAAATCATTCATTCCACAAACTTCCCACTCAACGCGTGCGACTTCTTCAATTTCTTACAACAAAAAATGCTAAGTGTGAATCTCCTCGGACCAGTCGATTTGTCTCTCGAACTCAAAAAACAGTTCAAAGCACTCAAAACGTTGGTTTCAGACTATTTGGTCAAAACATTTGAAACAAATTCTCAAGTCCAAGTTCTTTTAAAGCCAATAGCAAGATTCGAGGCGGTATTGGAAATCCCATCTCTCATTCAAAAAGTTCAAATACCAAATGAATACGTCGAGTTTGCGCATACTACGCTGCCAACCTTTTTGAATGACTCGACGCTGATAGAACTAAGAGAGTTCTTAGTCGGAATGGCAGTGTGTTATGGCGCTGATGAATTTCTGTATGCACTCCCACGGTCTCTAACAATGGACATTCTCCCTTTTGCAACACAAGAAAGAATCAAAGCGATTAATGCACTGAATAAGATCACAGAATACTCGGAGCCTATTTATAAACAGACAGCCGCAGATATAGTCTGCTCACACGCTGTACTCTGCGACGGTGGGCAACTTGGGATTAGCAAAATGTTGTACGGCGCTGGGTGCTACCAACAGGCTGCGATCATCGCTACGCATGCCGTCTCGGCAATGTATGTGAATAGTAAAAGTAATAATAAAAGAACTATAAACTCTGGTTCATTAGAGGATGTTGAGGAACTGGTCAAAGTTGTGTCGAGTTGCATCAGAATGTTACTGGACATACCTAACGCGACCAATTTGATAGTCGAGGATATCATGGAGAGTGGGACATTTGTGCGAGAAAAGTTGTTTCAGCAGATGGTAGTGGATGATACAATAGAGTGTGTGCTTGGGTTTCGCGGAGTCGAGGAATTTATCTCTCGAAATGTCCCGAGACTGCTTTGGCGAGTGAAGTACATCCAAGGCGATGTCAGTGGTGCCGTCCGTGAAGTAGTGAAGTACTGTGAGAACGATGGGGATGTCCGCAGTCGAGAGAATGAAGTGAGGACGTGTCTTGGAACGATTGGGACGATGAGTATGAATGAACGTCGTAAGTTAGTAGAAGTTGATGATATACTGCGAAACCAAATAACTGTTGGAGAGTCGTTGGTAAAGATCAAAACGCGAATGGTAGAGAATGATATCGAAAGTGTCGACTTAGAAACCCTTGACAGGAGTATTGAGATAGTATTTACTCGAGTCCG